AAAAGGACAAACAAAAAAAAAGCAAAAAGAATGAAAAAAAAAGAAAAGAATGAAGAAAAGAAAGAAACAAAAAAAAGGAATAAAAAAAAGAAACGAACGAAAGGAAAGAGAAGAAATGAAGAGAAAGAGAAGAAACGAAGGGAAAGAGAAGAAATGAAAAGAAAAATAAAGAATGAAGAGAAGAAAAAAACAAAAAAAGAAAAAAAAAGTGGAAGAAAAGAAAAAAAGAGAATAAAAGAATGAAAAAAAGAACAGAAGAACAAAAGTAAAAAGGAAAAATGAAAAAAGAACAAAAGAACAAAGATGAATGAAAAAAAAACAAAGGAAGAAAAAACAACAAAGAACAAAAAAGAACGAAGGAAAAAAGAAAAAACGAACAAAAAAAAAGAGAAAAGAATGAAAACAAAATTGAACGAAAAGAAAGACGGAAAGAAAAAAATAAAGCAAAAGAAAGAAGGGGAAGAGACAAAAAGAAAATGGAAAATAAAAAAATGAAAGACAAAGAAAAAAAAAGAACAAAAAAAAGAAAGAAAACAAAAAATAAAACAAAAGGATGAAAAGAAAAAATTAAAGCAAAAAAAAGAAGGGAAAGTCAAAAGAAGAGAGAAAAATAGAGAAAAATGAAAGCAAAAAAAAAAAAAACCGAAGCAAAACAAAGACAAAAAAAAAAAGAGAAGAATAAAGATAAGGAAAAGACAAATGAAATAATAAAAAAAAAATTAAAAATAAAAAAAAAAAGCAAAATACAAAAAATAACTAAAGAAAAAAAAAATGCTAAATCAAAAAAAAAGAAGCGCGAAATTAAAAAAAAAAAGCACGAAATCAAAAAAATAAAATATATATGAGGTAATGGGTTGCTATTGTATTTTTGTTTAACTAAATTACTATGATCTATAGTTATACAATTAAATCAATTGAATCAATAATTTATATAGGTAGTCTAAACATTATCATTATATAGTATAAATAGAGTAATCTAAACATTATTGTTACATACAAATTTTTTTAGTATATAGTATAGATTAATTTTTTTATCTCTTAAACTATAAGCTTTTCTAGGCAAATTTGCTTGGAAAATTATTATAAATATGGTTATGATTTACTTTTTTTAAATTTTAATATATTTAAATAAAATTTTTTTTGATAA